TGATTGATTGTACTCCAAATATCTTCTTAAAAGAAGATATTTCATATAATGTAAAGAGTATTCATTGTTTACTCTTTTGCGAAGTCTAATTTTCATTGTCACAATGAAAATTAACTTTGAAATCTAATTTGTCTAATCCAAGATGGAAATTAACATCAAAATCTAATTTACATTGTCGTAATTCCCATTTTGGTAGTGAAAGTTAGATTTTGAAGTGAATTTCCAATTTGAAATTGACAACTTAGATTTCAAAGTGAATTTGTATTTTGGCGATAAAAATTAGACTTTATATTGGAGGATGAAGTGCAAACTCTCACATTAAATGAAATATTTCCTTCTTAGAACATATTTTCATATATAGTGAAAACTCTCACATTATATGAAATATTTTCTTTAAGAACATATTTTCATATACAGTGAAAACTCTCACATTATATGAAATATTTTCTTTTAAGAACATATTTTCAGATACAGTGAAAACTCTCACATTATATGAAATATTTTCTTCTAAGAACATATTTTCAGGTGTGCAGTCAATCACGTATGGAGTTTGCGGAGACGATAATGCCTGTACTAAAATGCAAAAGAAAACATGCTTGTGCAAGGTTTAGTATAGTTATGGCGACAAACAATATTAGATCCAAAAACTCAAAAATACTTGAGACGGATTATCAATCTTCGGCAACCCAAATAAAACATTACTCCTACTAAATTGTGTTGATTATTGCCATATTAGATCACCTTTTGTCACAACTTCAACATTAGATCTACTACAGGAAGGATCATTTAACATTTTAGTAATGTCAGTTTTATCGAAAATCATTAATCCATCGAACATTTATTCACAATCTATTAAGACGACTCCTACTAATATCACTGTAGTTACACTAGCCCTCACACAATTATATTTTTGTCATATTTTGTCTCCAAGTGAAAATTCAATTATAAACCTAAACTTCCTTGTCTCTACAACTTTTAACTAGATTATTCTCACACCTATGAACAAATTCTGAGAATGAAATGTTTTATATGACATATGAGTGTTCACTTCATCATCTAATGTAAAATCTAATTTCCATTCCCAAAATGAAAAATCACTTCAAAAATTATGTTCATGTTTGAAGTGAATTTCTATTTTGGGAATGTAAAATAGATTTCTCATTGGATGATGAAGTGAACACGCTTACGTCATATAAAATATTTACTACTCCGAATTTGTTCATAGGGATGAAAGTAATCTAGTAATAATTGTTGAGACGAGAATACGTAGGTGGATAAGTAGCTTGAAAAAATATGAAAAAAAATATATTTGTGAATGCTTTTATTTCTGTAGTGACATATGGACAACATACTCGTGATATTGATAAGTGCATCTTGATAGTACTTTCAGTGAGTGAAGTATAAAAATTTATCGATGGTGTGGATAAGGTCACCAGTCTTCAGAGGTGTAAGATAGTTTTGAGAAGTATTGATTATTAGTATTCTCGGATGAGTGGCACTTACTAAGAGGCATGTGACTCTAACAAGTGGATATGCAAGTTAGGTGAGCAATCATGATGAATGAACATGTATCCTGATTGAGAAACTTTGCAAGCTAGAAAAATGACCCTATAAGTTGGACAAGTGACTCTATTGAACGACCTTAATTAATGGTCTTACAGGCTAGATGCGTGGTAATAGCAGGTGAACATATAATGATCAACTTACAAGTTGGGCAGTGACTTTAATGAGTGAGTCTTACGAGTGAATCTATAAAGTAGGTAAGCGGCTTAGGCTAATGTTCTTATAGGTTGGACAAACAACCCTAATAAATGATAAGTAGCTTTATAAGCTTGCTAGGTAAATGGTTCATAAGGTTTGATCCTCATAATTGGATCTAAAGGTTTAGAAAGTGTTCCAGATGTGTGGCTCTACAAGTTAATTGGATAGTCCTATTAAGTGAACGTGATGAGTAGATCTGTAGACAAAACAATTGGGCCTATAGGCTAAGTGAATGGCTCTTACGAGTGACCCTGACAAATGAATCTATAAGCTGAGTGAGCAGTTGAACATGAGAGACCTGCAGTTGGAAAAAAAAACTTTAATCGTTTTGGTAAATTTCTATTAATTTTGTCAAAATCTTTGCAATTTCATATTATTACTGGAGAATTCACAATTCTATTTTGATCTAGTTGAGTACATAACTCATCATTTTAGTCTGACCAAGTCGTCGGGTTGTCTCGAATATATATCAAACATGTAATGATTACTTAGAATATTTGAGAATATAGTTGTAATATGCTAATTTATTTTTTTGTTCCTAAAATCGAGTTTAACTTATAAAAAATCAATTCTAAATTGCTATGCTTTTTAATTAATTTGTGAGTCATAGTGATTGGCTCAAAACATGATTCAAGATGATTCCAACATAATTGCTTTTATTTGTGTAATCAAAAGCCTTGTGATAAAATTTATTTTAAGTATCCTACTTTATTAATGAAAATACATTTTGATAGGGGATATCAACAGTTGAGATTTCATTTAGACATCTTTAATTTTTCCACCTTAGCTTTTAAAGGCTCCCTTTCCAATTCGACTTTTAAATATGCTTTCCAAAGAATCACTCCTTAAACTTAATTTAAATAAATGCTGTGAGTAAACAAGCTTTCCCAAACAAAATTTAAGGCACACCAACAGCTCAAATGTGAGGGGATTCGAGTTAGATAACTAAAATTTGTAGAAGAAATGAAAGAATTACATAATACATAAAGATAGACCGAGAATCAGCCGAAGAATAAGTTATGAGTATGTTGATCAAAGTACTTGTCACTTCTTTAAAAAAAGCTCTGGCCATTCTTTTCAATTTACTCACACTTCGATGAAAATTCTCTATTACGAACGACCATAACAATTGAGTGAATCAGAATTTAACACCTTCGGAGCAACTATTCTTTCTTAACCACACATTCCCAAGTGAGGCCAAAGCTTGTTCATTAGTGCTGCGTTGTGTATTACGAGGCCAGTTTGTATATTTATGTTATATTACTTTAAATCATTGAATCCATTCATTCAAATTCTTTTCATTAAGTCAATTTTTTTTATTATTCTAATAAATCTTATACAATTTTGTAAATTTATATAATATACTTTATCCTTGTTGTGCGTCGAAGAATTCATAATGATAGATATATGAGTGTCATAGCATTGTACGAAAATTTAATCAACACACAAATAAAAGAAGACTGGTAGAGAGGGGAAACCATAATTTGACTTTCATTAGAGACAAAAAATAATTGGGAAGTGATAGCGAACTAGCTACAATGATGGAAAACGTACAACAGAGGTTGTGTGATGGTGAATCTAAATTCATTGTCATCGATGGTAATAACTGTTCGACAAGAATGATCCAACAATAATATTAGTGATAACTCGATGATAATGATATGATGATGATAATTTAACAATGATGGTATGCGATCACAACGATCGTGATGGTCGAAATTGATATGATGATCAGACGACAACAATAGTGTACCGCCACAGTGGCGGGGACCCAACAGGCTACCCAACATACTGTAGCGGAGAGATGATGATTTTACATAACAATGAGCGAGATATGGTGATTTGATGATGGCAATGGTGTACCACAATAGTAGTGGCTATCAAGCGTTAGTGATCTAACATAATGACAGTCGACAGATGATAATCTGACAAAGATAGTAGTGTTCTAGTAATGATGGCCTACCGATGACCCAATTATGGTGTCTGACAATGACAACAGTGGCTCAATATCGATCATGTGACAATGGTCTTATGTCTGTGGCAACCCAACAAAAGTGGCTAATGATTGCAGATTGGAGGTGATAGTGACACGACGTCAGTTAGGCGTTGATAATCCAGTGACAATGACATCTCGATGATGATGGTTCGCATAGTGGTGTTGGTTTGGATTTGACAGCTTGATGATGGTGGCTTGGTTCGGTTAGCTGTTGGTGGTTTGATGACATAGTCCGATAATGGTGGAACAATGACGGTGGTGATAGCTTAGCGACAATGGTGCATCATTGAGGTGTTGGCACGATGTCGGCGGTTCATCATGAGAATAATGCATGGGAAAAGATGGTATGGTGGCGGTGGTCCGATGATTGTGGTGGCGATGACAGCAATAGTGTCATCAGGCTATGGTGGTCTGGCTGTGATGGTGGTGGCCAAACATTGATGGTCTAATGGTGACGATAAGACAATAACGGTTCGACGGTAGCTGGGCAGTGGTGGTCAGTTGACGGCGACAATGATTAAGTAGTGGTGCTTTGCTAATGGCACTGGTTACCCGATGATGGCAAAGACTTCGGTGGTAGCAAGGCCACAGGGGTCCAACAACGGTGGTTTGATAGCGGCTAAGCTCAAGAATCTTTAAAACCCTGGAGCTCCCGTTAGCCTTCTCCAGTAGGTTTCAATTCAGTCCCCATTTCAAGAGAGTGAGTGTCACTCAAATAAACTATAAAAAAATTATTAAAATTTAATATTTACATGCATCACATTCTAATTTTTTATATCATTAAAAAAAATATAACTATCACATAATTTTAAAAAGTGAAATATAAATATGAAAATTTTGGGGTTAAAATGTAAATACAACGGATTGTGTGGTATGCATGTAAATTCCACTAAATACTTTCTGACAGAGTTGAATTTTGTACCATTACTCAAGTGATTATAGCCTTGATTCATTTAAAATCCAACCTCATAAATTTCCTTGAAAATTTTATTTAAACCAAAAAGTAGAAGACAATCCCTGCCACGACCACGAACCACACACCCCCCCCACCATCATAAGATGCCCCAATTGGAAGTAATAAATGGTCGCTTTCCCCCGATATTTAACAGCTTATATTACCATCCCATGACCGTAATTAATCCAAACTATCAAGGGCTAACAGTTTGCTTCTCACGCACTAGTCCGAGCTACGACACCTCCCCACCCTTTAATAAAGCCGACAGGCCCAGTGGCAGCCCCCCGAAAATCCCGCCAACTATTCGGTTAATTTCGCTACATCCGAAGAGAAACGCGATTGTGAATCTTTGGGAAACGCTTGAGGAAGTCTCCGAGGGAATTTAGGAGGCAGCGATGGCGGATTTGGACCACCGGTAGATACTGGAAGCAGAGTGAGCGAGAGAGGGAGAGGGAGAGGGAGAGAGTTTGAAGATATTCTCCTGCGAGTTTGTGAAGTTTGGTAATGGCATGATTCTGTACGCGTTAATGGAGCAGGGGGCTTTATAGAGATTGTAAAGGGTAGATTTTTTGCCTTTTTCTTCTCTGGTTTTCGCTATTCCGGCGACGTGTTTGGTTGTTTCTGGTTTGCTTGATATGGGCGCTGGCTGGAGGCGAATAACGGCGGTGGGCTGTGGGAGTGTGGAGCCGGAAGGAAAGAGGAGGGGGAGAGGGCTTAGGACGATGCAGGCTGGGAGGGCGTCTTGCCGGGGTAGCTAGGCTGGATGGAGCCGTGAAAGGACGGTGCATCTTTGATCTTATTAAGCTTGATTACCGTCTCTTCGATAACGAGCACGGGTTCTTGTCGGAGTTCTTTGGAGAACTTTTTTTTTTTTTTTTTTTTTTTTTTTGAGCAGACTGATGGGGTTTGATCTGAGAGAGGCGCTTCAACGCCTCTGCGTCGAGATTGGGTGGTCGTATGCTGTTTTCTGGAGGGCGATCGGATCGCCAGTCCCGACGTAAGGCTCTAGTATTAGTGTTTTTCTTCTGCTGTCCTGATATAATTTATTTTTCGTCCGGTATGATGTTAAGGTATCTCTTGGAGCTAGGTTTTGTCGGATGTTCGTATACCTTTTTTTTTTTTTGCATTTTTTTTTCGTTCTTGTCGGCTCTTAGCTTATTGTGATACGGAGGTTGCTGGAAGTCTGGAATCTTTTGTTGCAACTTTATTTTGAGCTTTTAAAATGTTGGGCTTCCTCTGGAGGAGTGTCTCATTTTTAGGAGGCTATTTGGCTACAAGTAGGATTTGATTAGTAAATTTTGAGTGGATATAAATCATAAAACTGTTTGATATGATAATTATTAAGTCATGCTGAATCTTGATTAAATGTTTGCCATTTGTTTCAAGATTTAAGATTTGCTTGTGTTAGAGGAATTCTTAAATGAATCACTTAATCGAATTCTGCATGACATGTTCGCTTATTTGTTTGAAGATTCAAGATCTGTGTGTGTGCTAGAGAAGTTTTTAAATTAATTATGTGAATAATAATACTGTATTATGATTTATCAAACTAGTATGATTTAGGGCTAATAAACCCTGCCAACAAAATTTTTGGGATATTAAATCATTTTCTTTTGATAAATCCGGTTTTTGCTTTTTGGTTAAATTCAAGATTTGTTAAATCGAAATTCATAGGATCATGCATTTCAGTATTTCTTTTTTACAAATCTTAAATTTTGAAACAATAGCCGAACCATTTGTAAAGGTTTTAGCAAAATATAACGAGTGTTGTGATACTGTTGTCAAATTTTAGTTCTATAAAGGTTTATTAAATCTTGTTGTCAAACAGCCCCTTAAAGCCCCATAAAATCTGTTTGGCTGTGTTTTGGCTGAATCACTATTAAATCGAACCTAAAATAGGATACTAGACAACCCCTATTTCTGATGATTGCTCCCAGTTTGTGTGTGCCTTTTTATGGTTATCAGCTATTATTATATTTGTTTCTTTAGCAATTTTACTAAATGAACAGTATCCGGTATGTTTGGAATTTTCTTTGATTCTTTTCTTTTTTCTTGTGAAGTGTGGTTAACAATGCTTGCTATGTGAAGACTTAGAGGTCAAGCTTGGGGCTTTGCTTATTGTTTTTCTTGGTTGGGCTTTTTGCAGGCATTTGGTCTGGGAAGATGGATATTGGTGTGGGAAAACACAACTTTCAGGGTGCGATGACGTGAGTTTTCATGTTAATTTGTCTGGTGAATTTCAAAGACAAGGAGAGGGCACCATAGATGAGCTGGTTAGCAAGTCCATGGTACCGCAGGTTCATGCTATAGGAGATGGGTGTGTAAAGTTTTCTTCTTACCCCTTCATTTGGAAAAGTTCTAAGCAGCTGCCGTATTGTTTAACTTTATTACTTGTGTACGGAAAGCTTCGTGATGAATTAGTCTGTCATTTTTTTTTTTCATTTTGAGCTCGTCTATAATGCAGCGTTATGTTTCAGGATAGTCGGACAAGCTGCTTCAATAGGAAATCATAAATGGATTCTCAGAGATGTTGCTATTGGCAGGGAACCCATTTACTCGGTATGGCTTTGTTTTACAAAGTTCTCTAAAGACATCATTTGTATTTTATAATTTTATGAAGGGTTGGCTTCAAATATTACTGCAAAGGTGACAAAGGAGACATTTTTGTAAAATAACAGGTTTTCTTGGTTGTCAAACACGTTGTTTGCTACTTTATATGACTTGTTATGTCTGGTACCTCATGCATCTAATTTTTGTAATATTAGCTTGGCATTTTATCTGTTTGTTGTAAAATTTATTAGATCTTTTCGACTCCTGGTTCTGTTATTCATGAAGTTGCATGTTTAGGATGGAAAAAAGTTGAATTAAAACTATATGTTCAATAGTTATGCATATCCTCCATTGGAAATAAGATTACATTAAATGAAAAACATTAATATATTTTGTTATATCTTGCAGCATTCGTCGGAGTTGAGAAACCAATTTTTGTCAGGGATTCAGGTGATGACGCTTACTTTCATATCGTTTTTCTTCTATTGAATTATCCATTATGCTGATTCATGTTATTGATTTTCTTGGTAGACAATTGTTATCATACCTCTGCTTCCACATGGTGTTGTACAATTTGGTTCTATCCTGAGGGTATGTGTTTATTATATTCTTTGCAATCATAGAATCATATCATCCATCACGTGAACATTCCTTATCTTTTTTGGTTTCTTGCGTTTAACTATTCTTCAGCATAGTTGCTAAAAAATAAACACGTGCTACGCTTGTTTCTTGAAGCACTTATTACATGATATTACTTTCCTATGATGAAAATATTTGCATTGCTTAAATATGTACTGCAAATGAAGTTTGACCAATTCAACAATCCTTTATTTAACCAATGTTTATTGTCATTGCAATTGTTTTATGCCTGGTTGCTAAACTTTAAGCTTTGGTTATAAGAAAAAAGCGACAAGTAAGTCGTTTTGCAGCATTGCATAATTGGTCAATCATCTTCTTTGTTTCCCTCTACAAGATAATGGTGGAGGAGCTAGATTTTAATGTATCCATGGCTATTACATATTTTTTTTTCTATGAGGAATGGAAATGAATATAACAAATATGGATTGTATGCCATGTTTTAGTATGTTGGTTGAGGTATCATTATATATTTTTATAGGTCTCTTTTAGTCATTATTTAATTTTTTTGGCGTTAATTTCTTTTGTTGAATTAACAAAAGCTCAAATACTCAGACATCACTTTAGGATCTATTAATAAAGATTCAAAGGGCATGTAATGGAGAACTTGATTTTTGAAATGAAAATGATGCTTGGCATTCTTTTATATTTTCTTTGGTTATGCTTCTCCTCCTCATTTTTATATCCTTTTCATATTCCTCGACCATTTTTCTCAACTTCTTCAAAGCTTCCGAATTTCTTTTGTTATATATCTTGACATTACTTGATATTAAAGCACAACCTCATCTTGGTGATGAGTGTTTAGGTTAGTTTCAAGGCATTCATTGAATTATGAATGATATGTGCTTTTAGTTTTGCATTCTTTAGTTATTGGTCACTATAATGTATGTATTATCTTTTTAAATATACTCGTGCGCCCACTATTACTTTTCCCCATCCCTAAAACTCAAGTCAATCTGGCTTTGTCGTTCCATACACTTTTTTATATGTGAACCTATAATAGCACCTTGAACTCTCACCTATCGAGATATTTTTTGCTTTAGTCTAATATCCTTATGGTTTTGTCCTATTGATATAACTTCCGAAGGTGTCAACCATCCCAAGTTTACTTCTTTCTTAGCATATACTTAAATTTAGATTTTCTGATGAAATTTTAATTCACACCAAAAAACATCTAGATGTTTAAGATTCCACTTTCATTCTACGTAAGAGGTTCACAAGCTCTCACACAAGTAACTATTTTTAATGTAGCATCATCCACAATGTCGATATGATTCTAGAGGTAGGGATCATATGTAGTGCTTTCACTTCATTGTGTGGTCATTACAGTGACTTAGACTTAAGCTTTACGGTATGCCAAAGCATGCCATTATCGAACAAAGGCTTAGTCTTACTGATTTAAATGATCTTTTGTATTTTTCAGCATGATGCCCTTGCTTGAAGCTTTGCAGCTTTGTGAATCCTACCTGCTGTAGCTAAGTTTCTGTCAAAAGCTGGAACTATAACTTTTTTCGTTATTGCAGGTTATGGAGAATAATCTGTTTATAAATCATGTAAAGTCTTCTTTTATGCGGTTGGTATGTGAACCAGGGTCTTACGTTTCCGTTCAAGAGGATTTGTATCGGAGCGGTCTTCAACCTTCATCCTTTAGCTCTGCAGTTTCTGATTACCAATTTCAAGATGATTGCAGCAATATAGATAGATCCTTATCTGTGAGATGCAACCGTCAGCTTTCTATATCTTCATTTTCAAAATCATTGAGCCAGGCTTCTTCTTTATCCACGGGGTGTCATGAAAATCTTTCCAAAATTGATGCAGAACGGCTGTTGAACAAGAAAATTGTGAGTAGTTCATTTCGCCCTGTTGCTGTGTCGTGCAGGCCTATGATTCATTCAACTGGAAACTCTGCCTTGCATCTCAATAAAAGGCTTGAAAATGGACTGGTGGGGGCTCACGTAATATCACATAGGGATATTCTGTCTGCAGCAAATGGGACTTGTACTACTGACAATGCATCTTTCAAAGGAGTGAACTTCCCGTTTGTGTGTGGTAGCAGAAATCAGGAACCTGCTATTGGTATTAAGGCCTCAGCAGAAAACATGTTTGGAGATCTTGACATGTATTCTCTTCATCCAAATTCTGCAACCTCGGAGTCCGCAAATGGTTATGGAAAATTTACTTCAGCTGCAGCTTGCACTAAAGAAGATATCCAGAGTCTTCAGGGCATGACACGGAGTATTAACACCTCAAATGGAAACGAAGGAATTCCAATGAGCCATGGTTTAAAGGATTCCATCATCAACAACTGCCAAGGAATGCCAAGTTCTCGCCATCTAAACCAGAAACATGATTTACCAGCGCCCCATGGGTTTTCATCCAGACCCTGTTCAAGTACCATTAGAGCTAGTCTAGGGACTGAGAGTGCAAACAGTTATTTGAATCCCATTCAAAACGATGAAAGTTTGCAGAGTCGAGGAATTGAGATTGACTCTACTCCCTTTCTTTTACCAAATGAGAAATCTTCACTTTTCCTTCCATTGGCTACTTCAGGGGATGATCTATTTGATGTGTTGGGTATTTATGGCAGTTTGGATAGAGGTTTTGCTGACCAGCAATTGGCTGTAGATGTTACTTCTTGCAATACAAAAGTGAACCATCCCCCTATGGCTTACTCTCTAAATAATGATTTATCTCGTGCTGATATATTTTCAGAATCCAATACCGACCAGTTGTTGGATGCTGTCGTTTCAAAGATCAATCCAGCTGCCAAAAGGTGTTTTGATGAGAATACATCTTACAAGACATCAACAACAAAAGTTAGCGGTTCATCAGTCTTTTGCAGTTCTCTTAGTAATGATGGGTCTGCTTCATCAGGAAAAAAACATGAAGGTTATATTTCTCCTTCATTGTTGACAAGTAATGCAGAAACAGCAGCTTCAACTCCTGTGAGATCAGGTGATAGTATGGATGACACTGAACGGTCAGGCTGTTATAGATCTCAAATTTGCTTATGGGCTGAAAGTGGGCAAAACATGAAAAGTGATAAACTGTATGATTCACATGCTGAAAGGGTTGATGAAATAAACAAGGTTAATCGGAAACGGCCAAGGCCTGGAGAGACCCCAAGACCAAGGCCTAAAGACCGCCAGTTAATAATGGACCGTGTCAAGGAATTACGAGAAATTGTGCCTAATGGGGCTAAGGTATTTTAGTTTTGTTTACTGAAACGTTGAATTAATATCTAAATTTAACTTTTTTATGTGTCAAATTATGTTCCTTATTATTATTAAAATGTGTGCAGTGTAGCATTGATGCTTTATTGGAAAAGACCATCAAGCACATGCTATTCCTGCAAAGTGTGGCCAAGCATGCAGACAAGCTGAGAGATTCTGGAGAACCAAAGGTGTGTCATTGCTTTTTTGTTCTACCTACTTTGAATGAGCATGTAGCATGCCATTTAGGATAGCGGTCCATCCTTTTACACTTTCAGTTACCTTAGGAAGGTAATCAAATCTATTAAGATAACATATATTTGGAAATTTGGCTAAAAGGGTTTTCATAATGTATCACTTCTGTAGCAAGTAATTGCTACTACCATGTATTATTTTTTGTGTTCTAAATATTTTCTCTTCTTTTTTCACATGATCAGCTTGTAGTAAGTGCTACTACAATGTGATTTTGTTTTCATATTATAAATATCCCTCTTTTGTCGCAAGTTTTTCGTATTGTGTCTTAATATGTTTTTATTACACTAAGGTATGTCGTTTAACCACAATGCTTCATAGTTTAATGCACTGTTTCTTTCTTTGTTTTTTTTTGTTTTGGGTCACTTGACCATTTTCAATATACATGCTGCAATCGTGTTCAAGAACCTCCACAAAACTCAAGTTGCCTTCTTGAAAATTTTGTTGAACTTTTTAGAAGAGAATTAAAAAGAACTACTATCTTTACCCAATATATCAGCAAGAGTTCAGAAGAATAAAAAGAGTAAAATAAAAAGAATGTCTTTAATAATGAGAAAAATATTACAGTATGACAAACTATTACTTTTATAACGGCAATCCCTAGTTGTCATTACTTATTATTGCTTGTTATTAGCCTTTATTACTCCATCATGTATTTCCTATTTTATTTCTTTTTTATTTATTTCTTTCCTTTATTGTGGTGGTTGTGTTTGGGTTTAAGTAGTCAGTCTTCTATCAATAAACTTATGCTGCTCTAGTCACAAACTCAAAATGGTATTAGAGCCATGGCATGGCTCTAACCCTAGTGGTTCCACCTTAGTCGCCAACCACCTACAGGTCTTCTCTATATCCTGCAGGCAACCACCTTTAGCCGCTAATCCTTCCAGCCGACCTCGTGTTCTTTCTGCAGATCCTTCCTGCCAACAAAGATCTATCTGTTGCTCCTTTCTATCGCTAAGCCCAGTAGCTCCTCTAGCCGACCTGCCTACATGACTTCCTATTGGATTACCTTTTTTTTCTATTGTGAGGCCTCCTTGCTTTGTTGTTTGCTGGTTGTTTCTCCTGTCTGCACGATCTATCTTGCTGTTGCTTCTAGATGTTTTTTTTTCAGCCGTTGGACATCCTTACCAGCCTTTCCTACGTCTCGATAACCCAACATCACTTATGGCTCTGTTGGAACTATGGAGAATTCCTCCACCATTGAACCTCCCATTGACATTGTCCATGTGTCCAACAGAGGATCGTCACCGACCTCAATACCTCTACAGATCGAAGGATCATAAACAAACATGAACTTCTTGATCGCGACTCATAAACTAAACAACATCAACTTTCTCCAATGGCCCCAAGCAGTGTCTTTGTTCATCAAAAGACCTGAAAAATTTGATCAACTCACAGTTATGATCAGTGAACCTTTAAAGACTGACCCAACTTATTGGAGCTTGGAAAATAGAGAACTCCATGGTCATGTCATGGCTGATCCTACATGGAAACGTCAATTGGTCATCCATATATGTTCCTCCCTGTAGCTTGTACCCTCTGGACAACACTTCATGATATCTACTCAGATGTAGGAAACTCTGACCAACTTTATGCGGTGTTTAAGAAAATCCGGGAGGCAAAACTGTTTCAAGAATCTTGACCTGGTACTATAAGGACCTTGCTGTACTATGAATGGAATGCGACCTGTACTATGACTACACTTGAGATTATCTGACCGATCTTTCTCTCTAGATAATCGATCTTTCTCTCTTTTAGAAGATTGTAGAAAATGATCGCTTGTTCCAATTTCTGATTGGCCTTAACATAAACCTTAACGAAGTCCGGGACCGTATTCTTGGTCGAAACTCTCTTCCCTACGCTCGCGTTTTTTCACCGAGATTCACCGAAAAGAGACCCGAAGATTTGTCATGCTTGACACATACTCCTTCAGCTGAATTGTCCACCTTGATCTTGAATAGCACTCAGCCCTTGTCCATGCCACCGCGAGTCGGACACAACACATGTCATTACTGTCACAAACCTAGCCACACTCGAGACAAGTGTTGAAAACTTCATGGTAAATTGACATATAAACTTTTCGTCAAATCCTTTGCTACCAAGGGTCTCACAACAACATCCAAGTCTATTACGATTCAACTGACTCATACCCGAAATAACCTATATTCCTCCAAATTCTCGAAAAATTAGATTAAGCAATTGATGAAGCTACTTGGAGCAAATCAATTCTATGCGAGTTCGTCGACCTCCTCTGTTCGACAAGGTAATCTTCCTATGACTCTTACTTTTCTTTCTTCTTCTAGTTCGTTGATTATTAATTCAGGTGTCGTGGATCACATAACTGGATGCTCACAAGCTTTCTCAACTTATCATTTGTGCTCTCGGAAAGATACTCGCAAAATTGTCGATGACTCCTGTAGTTTCATTGCTGGCAAATGGTCGGTTGTGTTAAAAACTGATTCTCTGGAGTCCGTTTTACATGTTCCTTTGGTTCAATTTAACTTGTTATTTGTCAGCAAATTGGCGAATAATATTGATTGCATTGCTAATTTCTCTTCTAATAGTTGTGTTTTTCAGGATCGTCGTTTTGGGAGGACAATTGAAATTGCTAAGAGTTTAGTTGGACTCTATTACTTGAATAATAAGAGCACTGAGAGTGAGGGCACTTCACTTAGGAGTTGTAGTTTATCTCGAATCATTGAATATCCCACATGTTGCATTGTCGTTTTTGTCATCTTAGTTTTCAGTACTTAAAAAGTTTGTTTCCTTTAGTGTTTTATAATAAAGTGTTTCTACTTTTAATTGCGAGACATGTCAGTTAGCCAAGTATTATTGGGTTCATTACCCACCCCACATTTACACGCCTTTTGCTCGTTTCTCTCTTATTCATAGTGACATATGTGGACTCTCTTGCACTCCTAGCTACTCCAATAAACGATAGTTCTTGATTTTGATTGATGAATACTCAGATGACATGAGTCTTCATTTTAAAACATAAATCAGATGCTGTTGTCACATTCCAAAACTTTTGCACATTCATTTTAACTCAATTTAAAATTCCAATTAAGGGACTTCGGATCGACATTGATCATGAATTTTTCAACTCTATTTTGGATTCTTGGTGAGGAAGGACATCCTCTGCTATAAATCGTGTGTGGACACCCCTCAACAAATTGGGGTCGCCGAGAGAAAATCGTCACCCCCTTGATGTTGCTTGCTCTATTATATTTCAATCCAATGTCTCAAAACGGTTTTGGAACGATGTCATTCTAACTACGACCTACCTCATAAATATAGTCTTCTCTAAACTCCCATAAAATTCACGAGTGTCGAACCCCGTTAACCATCTTGATGTTATGCTTTCCTACAATCGGGTCTTCTCCACATTAAATCTCAAGATTTTTTAGTGCATAGCCTTTGTTCAGAACACTGCCCCATTCAGAGTAAACTTGATCTCAATTCTATAAATTATATTTTCTTACGGTACTATTCCATTTAAAAGGGGTATCGGTGTTTTGATCCTACCGCAAACAAAATCTATGTGTGTGCTGATGTTTCTTTTGAATGCTCCCTATTTTTGAAACTTGGTCTCGAGTGGGGGAGCTTGAAATTTTAAACCGTCCCTTATCCCACTTCTATGGATGTTCCTCCTATTGTTCCTTTCACTGAGGAGCCCCTATTATGTTGAGTGCATGATCTCTCCACTATCCATGTCTACACTCGGCGCACCCGTCATAGTGCTACCACTATGGAGTCTGTTATCTCTAAAACTGTAAACGAACCGAGCTTGAGCAAGCTCTGGCTGGGCTCGTGTTCGAAATTGGCTGGTGTTCAAAATGACTCATGAAAAGTGTGTTTGTGTTCGGCTCGAAATTGACTCGTTAGAATATAAAATTATTATAATAATTAATTTATGAAATAAAATTAAAATAATAATTTTTTTAAAACACTGCTTTAATAGAAATTAATTAATTATAATTTATAATATTTAATTTTATGAGTATATATATGTATGTATGTATGTGTATATATATAT